GTTCAGGATGAGGGGTGTGCGCATTACCCTGTGTAGACCATTACACGTATTCCTGTACTAAGGAGTACACTGCACCCCATACATATGTTCAACTATAATATGTCCGTTAAAATAATTTTTAAAATACAGAAAATATAAAATATTTCAAGTATAAGGAACATAAAGATCAAGAGGAATAGCAATGCATCTACACAGATCTGTCACACTTTAATATTTTGGTATGTTATGTTTGCTTTCATTTTTTAACTTAAAGAAATAAAAATACATTTTTAGCGCTCCGTGTATCCCTCCCTAACACCATCTCTCCTCCCTGACCGGGAATGTTTATGAGCAATGGAGAGTCCTTAGACAGTACTTTCAGTTTCCGTGAATGCCTGTGATGCAGTGTGTCTTCTGTACCTCTGTCCTCAGCATCATTAACTAGAGATTCATTGTGAAGGGAGTTCTTTTCAATTCACTGCTCACTCCAGGGTAGACCAACCTATGCCTATGGCATATCTGCTTGCCAGCTGATGGACACTTAGTTAAAAGCCAGTCAAGCCTCCTTTGCTTGTAAACAATGTTGCAATAGATATTTTTGAATGTGTCTTTGGGTCAGACTCTAAGTTGATCTAAAGTAGATGCTAGGAGCAGGATCCTTAGGTCAAGGGGCCCAGCTCATGTGCAGCTGGACTCGATATTCTTGGGCTCTCTGAAGTTGTACCAGGCGACACCCCTGGTGAAGCGAGTGAGTTCCCGTCTCCTGTCAGTCGGCATCTGGGCCAATACTTGGTCCTAGAAGACCTGAAATATTACCAACAGGTTGTGTGGAATACAGCACTTCGGGCTTTCGTTCCTGCTTCTTTAGCCACTAGTTGCGTTAACTCCAGCTCCTGTTTAATGGCCACTGGGATTTCTGTATTTCAAAGCGATACTTGTCCTTTGCTTGATTTTCTGTTGGGGCATTTCTTTCTTACTGACTTCTGGGAGTTCCGCGTAAATCCTAAATTCCAGTTTTGTCAGTTCACAATGTTGCAGATAGGTTTTTTTCACAGGTAGCTTGTCTTCGCTTTGGTTTTTTAATGTTTTTCATTGTGCCAATTCTTCATTTTAATGCAGCCAAACATTCTAGTCTTTTGTGTTTTATCTTCCTCTGTCCCAAGGTCAGGGTGTTCTACCATATTTTCTTCTAAAGGTTTAAAAACATTGGGCTTTTGTTGTTGTTTCGCTTTGCCATAGGGTACATGCACTTGCTGGAGAGAGACAGAGAGGGAAAGTGAGAAATCTGCCCCCCCACCACCACTGGGGGTGATCATGCTAGAGATTCCCTTTCCCTTCATTCTCCTCTTGGGATCTTGGGCACACACATGCCCAGCTTGCTTTTCAGACCACCAGGTCTGGGCCTTAAACTGCAGCCAGCCATTTGGGAGTCCAGCACCTTAACCGCTATGCCAGTTGCTGGCCCCTAAAACACTGTTTTTCACACTTAGCTGTTCAGCCTGTCCAGGGCGCACGGCTGCCTGTGACGTGGTGGGGATGTTCTGCCCGCCTGCGTGAGCATCCGTCTCCGCCCAGTGACTGGGTGCTCCGTGGTAATCGTGCCACTCCCTCCGTCGGACCCCGCGCTCTCGCTCATAGAGCGACTACCGGGCTGTCTTGTCTCATCGCCCCGTTAACGTTAATGTATCTGCGAATCACCGCCTTGGCCCCCTCCTTCATCGTGACAGTCATGTAACAATTCTTGATGTCTCACTGGCCACATTTTGTCCAAAAATCTTCCTCATCATTTTTTTTCACATTTTCTTGGCCCTTTCTGTATAGGTTTTCTGATCAGCATGTCCAGTTTCACTGAAAACAAAATTTGAGTTTTTTTTCTCCTTTTTAAATTGGGTCGCATTGAGTTTATGTCAGTTTGGAAAACAGGGACTTTTTAGAAAACGCCATCTTCCCATCTTTGAACGTAACATGTCTCTGCACTTATTTGTCTCTTTGATGTCATTCCACACAACTGTCACACTTCTCTATGTAAATAGCTTGCGCATTTTCGTGAGACACATTCTTCTGTGTGTGGTGGAGCACATTGCTACTGTGAATTTGTTTTCTTAAAAGTTTAATCTCGTAATCGTTTCATCTACAGGAATGTTCCTGATTTTGTGTGCCTCTACCCTTTATTTACTGACCTTTCTGAACCTGTTTTCTGATTTTACAAAATAAGACTTAAATATAAAAGTTTTCATCTCCCACTCCTTTCCGAGCGCTCTCCCTTCACGAGACTGTCATTTCCTTGAGCTCTGAGAGCTCTCTCCCGTGCGCGTCTGGATTCCAAGCCCTTCGGGCGGTACCTGGGGCACAGGAGGGGCGGTAGATTTGTGTCCTGTGAATCAACAGCCTTCTCGGTTCTGGGCAGAGGAAGTCAGACACACGCACTGTGCCCAGGTGGTTTCGCACACAGCACTCTCCTCGCCCAGGTCCCCCAGGTCCAGCTTCTCCTCTCCACCCCCACCCCCGTTTACTGCAGACGCCCCAAATCCCTGTCCAGCTGCCGAGCCTTCCAGCCTTGGTCCCCTTCTCTCTGCTCGCGCAGGAAAACGTACCTGCTCCTGAGATTTGTGCTCCTTTCAGTCCTTCCAGGGAGCTTTTTGGTCTTGCCCCTATTCTAGGAAGATGGAACTAGAAATTTAAAATCAAAACAAAACAAAAACAAAGGACAAACAGATTCAACGCAAGATATGTGCTCAAACAGCACAAGCTTTGAAGAAAATGATCAAAGTGATGGGAAGGATAGACAGCAAAGGACACTGTGGTGGGCGCGGGGTGCCGCTGCCTTCTGGGGAGGAGGTAACTGACGAGGCGCTGCCCCGCCAGGACATCAGAATGTCGACCGTCAGCGGAAGGGAGGTAACTGACGAGGCGCTGCCCCGCCAGGACATCAGAATGTCGACCATCAGCGCGACCGAGGCGCTAGGAGGCGCCCCCACTCTCACGCGGTGACTCAGAGGAAGGGGGACGGGAGCGTCCTGTGTTCACGGCCATCTCCTAACTACTGGAGTCTGTGGGGAACAACAGACATTTGAGTCTTTTATTTTAGGCTTTTAAAAATCACTTCAGTTTCTTCCACTGATAAATGTTTTACGAGTTCCTTTTCTGATGACAGATTTTGCTGTGATTAAAGATTTCATGAAGTTCTGACAAAGGCAGGATAGATCTTCGTTCTTGGAAGCTCGTTTCTTGGGGAGCTGAGTGACGAGGCCTCCTGTAGGCAGCTGTCAGAGCTGACGAGTGTTTTCCGAGTGGGGAACCTCTGGGGAAGACACCCCCACCCCAAAATCTGAATCAACCCCTGTGGGCCTGTCATCTGAAGATGTGCGTGTGGTATGTGTCCTTGCCACCCTTCCTTGGAGTAGGACACACACACAGACACACGGACACACACAGATGGGCATACAAGAGATACACAGGAAACAGAAGTGGCACAGGTGACGGGTGGCTTTCGACACTGCCTGTCCCGGCCGGTGTGTGCGTGTGTGTGAAAACCCCTGGACAGGTGCTGTACCGTGTCCTTCTCTGCAAAGAGAGCATAGGACTTTGGGTTTGGGTCACACTCGGACCATGTGGCCTACCCCTTGCTGCAAGCATAAGGAAAAGTGGGGAACTTTAGTCCCGAGTCTGGGGTCCCGGTCCCCGCACCATTCTCTCTCGGGTGGCGGTTAGAAGGTGGAAGCAGGGCTAGCAACGACCACCTCACAGGGCGCGGTGGCGAGAGGACAGGGCCAGCGGCCGGTGGGTGTGCGTCCTCCTTCCCTGCCTCTGCCCTGCCTTTCCTCTCACAGTGGCGGGGCCTCGCTTCCCACTCTGGGAACGTGCCTGAGAACACGAATGCCCTCCGGAAGGGCCCATTTGCAAGTCACGCTGAGCTGCAGGGGACCCGGGCACGCACCTTTGTCTCTGAGCCTCTGCTACAGCCCCATGTGAAGCTTTGGACCTGCTCCCCAGGAGGGGGTGACTTCTCTATCCTCTCTGTCAGGGGTGATCACGAACACCCGCCGCTGACCTGCCCCGTGCTCGCCCTGACGCTTGGCATTTCAGGCACGGTGGTGGTTTCAGGCGAGCGCCCGCTGCTCTGGGAACACGGCAAACGGTACGGAGCACAGGCAAAGCCCGTGGCCGGGCCGCGTGCTCGTTCTCCTGCACGTGTAGCTGACGAGAGGGAGGGCGGTGCGGGGCAGCTGTAGGTGCTGGGTGGTGTCGCGGGTCTCAGGCCTTGGGCTCCTGCACCCCCGTGTTGTCCACTCCCCGCGGTGTTTGTCCTCCCCGGCTCTGAATGGCAGCTGAGCTTCTGGGTCTCCATGCACTTCTGGGCCTGGGTCAGGGTCGAGGGAGGCCGAGGGTTCTCAGGACTTGGTCTTTCCCTGGGATGGAGTCAGTGACGCCCTCTGTCCTGTGGCCAAGCACTCGGGGACGTGGCCTGCCCCTTGCTGCGAGCATGAAGCATCTTACTTCCTGCCTTTGCAGTAGCGAAGGAGCAGGGCTTTCAGACCGGGGCAGGGGAGCCTCTGTGAGCACAGCGAGGAGCAGGGTGGTCCTGTGTGACAGCTGGGGACAGCTCTTCCCCGGCAGGGCTTGGTACTGCTGACCCGTTAGTCGAGGGGATCCTGACGTGGACCTTAATCCCACGCCATGGTGTGCCGAGTTGCTCATGGATTATCTTAAGTGTCAGGGGTTCTAGCCCCCCCACCTCTGAGGCTTGGAGCATGTGAGTTCCTGGCAGAGACCAGGTGTTGGTAATGGCCGCAGCAGGTTCACAGGCACATGCTCTGGCACCAAGGAGGGCCTGATGCCAGACCTGCTTTGCGAGTCCGCAGCTGTGCTCAGAGTGAACGCCCGTAATCCGCTGTGTCCAGGCCGTTTGGCATTTTGGTAAACGGCATCCCCGCACACGTCTATGGTGGAGACTCCTGGGAGGAGAAGAGGCGGTTGCTCCCCCGGCTGTCATAAATCCTGAACTTTCCGTCTCCCCACAGCACCCGGCAGTGCCACCTGCTCCTGGACGCCTTCAACTCCACGGAGCACGAGCTGACGGTCGGCGCCAGGGGCAACGACGAGCTCGTCCTGCACGCCGGCGAGTGCCAGCGGTAAGTGCCCCTCGTCCCCACGTGCCTTCGCTCACCCACGTGGGCGGTTGCTGAGACTGCCCCCTGGGAGACCCCGACGGGCAGCTCATCTTCCTCTCAGAAGTATCGTGGTTACCGTCCAGGGGGCGGGAGGTTTGGAGAGGTCCCCGATTAGAGTCATGCATGAGACTCTAAGACCGAGCGCTGCCGTCGGAGGGAGCAGCAGCACGTGCTTCTGGGCAGCGCGTCCCCGGACGCTGAGGCATCGGGGCCCGTGCACTGTTAAACCCACAGCAGGCTGCGTCCAGGGACATTCGGTATTGATTTGGGGCTGCATGTCAGTATCAGTGGGAGTTCTTTGAAGAGCTGATGCCACAAAGCGATAGACCAGGCTAAGACTTTGGGCAGAAGAGCACCTGCACATGAGCCCAGCCCACGGGCGTGTGGAGAGGGGCACCACGAGCCCTCTCCAGGGCCCTCCCCAGGCAACCCTCCCCAGCGGGCACCTGAGTGGAGGTGAAAGCTGGTCAGGAGGCCAGCCAAGGCCATGAGGCATACCCCTGGGGCAGGGGAGCTCAACAGCTTTGGGGGCAATGCTGTCCTGGGCCAGGGCCGCTGTGAGCCCCACTGGGTTATGTCTTTAAGACCAGCTTGGGTTCTAGGGGCATGCACTTATAGGCGGATTGTAGGTAAAATATGTTATTCTTAATTGCAATATATTTCAAATATAGAGAAGATAATTCAGGAACTAGCATACCTATGTCCTAGATTTAAGCATTTTGTTGCATTTGCTGCAGATCTTTTCTCTGTCTCTCTCCCCCCTTTATTTTAAGGAAATAAAATAATTTAAAAATAGCTAACATTGGGCCAGCTTGTGGCTTGGTGATTAAGGTGCTGGATCCCACATGGCTAACTGTGTGTTTCAAGTCCTGGACCTGGTGACTTGAGAAACACACTGGGCTCATGTACCTACATACCTCAGTTCCTGAAAGGATAGACAAATGGGAGAGAAGGAATCATACATGACCATGCCCCAGGGGGAGTGCTTTCTCATTTTCTCTCTCTCATGTACCTACATGCCTTAGTTCCTGAAAGGATGGACAAATGGGAGAGAAGGAATCACACATGACCATGCCCCAGGGGAGTGCTTTCTCATTTTCTCTCTATCTTTCTGTCTCTCTCTGGCCAGTGCTTACATGCTTTGGCAAATAAAAAAGCTAGCATTAACATTATGAGTCAAAGAGAAATACAAGTCTAAGCCACAATGAGATACTACTGTACATTCATCAGAATGGTTAAAATAAGGAAGACGATAGCAAATGTTGGTGAGGATGTGAAGCAACTGGAACTCTCTTGCCTTGTTGGTGGGAATGTGAAATAGTGCAGTTGCTTTGGAAAAAGGTCTGGCACTTTCTTATAAGATGAAATTTAGTTTCTGCCATAGAGTACAGACATTTGGTATATATTAAGTGGGGATTTCTCATCGTCTTGCTTGCTTTGCTTAGCATTAAATCCTCTAAAGATGTATACTGATTAAAGGTAGATGGGGGAAAAAAGAACATTAAATTTACATTTACCTTTGCCCTGCTCCAACTCTAGTTCTTTACCCAAGAAAAATGACAAAATACAGTCACAAAGAGATCTGTATAAGAATGTTCCTATCCCCCAAAATAGAAAGAGCCTGGGTGTACAGTACCGAAGAATGGACAAAGTTGGTATTTTCCTGTGAGTGGAATAGTACCCCACCAAAAGAATGGACTACTCAGCACACTGCACCACGGGCAAACCTCCGTGAACAGAGCCTGACCCAAAGGAGCACGTGCCGCATGATCCCATTTTGAGATGCTCTTCAACTTGCAATGGATTTCCATCTCAGTAAGCCCATCCCAGTGGGAAACACTGTAAGCTGAAAATGCGTTTACATACAGAAGCCACTGAGCATTGTGGCTCAGCCTAGCCTGTTGTAGATGTGCTCAGAACACTCGGGCTGGCCTACAGCTGGGCAGATTGTCCAGTAACTCGGTAACCGAATATTGCGGTGTTAGCTGTTCACCCTCGTGGGTACACGGCTGACTGGGAGCTGTGGCTTGTTTTTGCTGGCCAACATCGCAAGATGGTATCATATCGCATATCATTAGCCTGGGAAAAGAGCAGAATTGAAAATACATTGCGTGAGGTCAGCAGGTGGTGTGGAGGTTAAGGTGCTGAACTTCATGTGGCCAACTGCACAGTTCAAGTCCCAGACCCGGCAGCTTGAAAATCATGCTAGCACTTGTGCTTGCATGCTCCAAATCCCGAGAAGAGACTAGAAGAGAAGGGATTGTGGTGTGGCCATCTCTCCTGGGGGTGATTTCTCACTCTCTCTCCCCTCTCTCTAGCATGCCCTATAGCAAACAAATGAGAAACAAAAAAAAAACAAAATACATTCTATGGTGTCTACTGATTACATGTTGCTTTCATGCCATAGTGAAGTTGAAAAAGGTGTAAGTTGGACCATTATATGTTGGGGACCGTCTATCTGTAAGCGAGATCCTAGAACAAAGAAAACCAATCTACCACGGGGAAAGAACTTTATCTGCTCATTGAGCTCCACTAACAATGGAAACTAAAGAGCTTGAGGTTGGTGCCTGATGTCTGCAGTGGCCTTTGGCATGCATTATGAGGGGTGGGCAGAAGGCTGGGCAGACAACTGGTTTAGGGGAGGAGGGAAGCATAGCGCGGTGTTCACAGTAACATCTCTGGGTGGGTGTGCAGGGTGCCCCCGGCAAGTCCTTTAGGGTTACTCTGTGCTTGAAATTTTTCTAAAGAAAATATTGGAGGAATAAGCAAAAGCAAAGATAGCCGAGTCCTGCTCCCCTACTTCTTATCCCTTCTTTCTTCCTCTTCCTTTCCCTTCTTCCCCAAGGTAGGGGAAGGCAGTGGAGGCAATGGTGTCATTTACGTACGCTGTTACTTTTATTATGTGTACACAGGTCCCACAATCAAACCTTATTTTGAGAATTCTGTTTTTTTAATGACATAACTGGTTCCATATCACGTACGTCCTTTTAAAACTTTAAAAATCAGTATTCTACTCTGGAGCTAAATATAAGTCTGACTGCTGTTAATATTTCATTGGGTAAATATGCCGTTTTATTCATTTCCATGCTAATGCGCTCACGGTGAGGCCCAGTTGGGGCTGGTAGTTGGGAGTCAAGATTTGGCCATGGATAGCCTTCCTTTGAGAGGAGCCAGGAGACACTCCTCCCCAAATCACCTGTTCTCTCACCCCTGGAGGGACCCTGCTGTGGGGCATGTGGGCGTGGGTGTGTGATTGGGGGGGGTGGAGAGCTGTGTGCATGTGCCCGAGGGAGGGGCAGGTGTGCTTCGAGAGCACTACCGCCCCCTGCAGGGGTAAACCCTGGCGGCTCTGGGCCGGGCTGTCGTCCATCGTTGTGGAGGGACCCTGTGCCCTTTGAGTCTGTCTTGCCTAGATGTTTGGATGCCACCCAAGATCCCAGAGAACATAAGTCTGGTCGTCTTATGATAGCAATGTAAAACACTGTTTAAAAATGATCAATTGCTAAGCTCATGGGAGGCTGGAGGATTCTAAATCGCAGTTGCAAATAATCACCGTTCAGTTCTGTGCTTCAGGCCTCTTCCTTGTTAAGCTTTTTGCTTAAATTCTTTTTTCTGAATGCTCCTAACTCACGTATTTCTTGATTTATTCATAAAATATTCATTTAATAAATATCGATACTTCCAGGACTTACCGTGTGGCAAGCCCTGCGTCAGCTCCAGGCATGACCACATAGGTACGTAAGGACCCCTCCGCGCGGGGCGTGATGATGCCGTGTGACGGTGTCACTATCCTGAACAGGCGGAGTGGCTAAACCAGGGCTCGTGACATGACATCCGTCTGGGAAGTTGCTGGGTGCCATCCCCAGTGTCCCCACTAGTCATGGTGACAGGGGAAGTGTCTGGGCCCCTGGCACAGGGAATCAGGTTCTTTCCCTTCCCCAAGGGTCTCACCCTGCCAGCCCTCCCAGGGCCGGATTCGCTGGGCTCCTCGAGGGCTCATGGTTCTTGATTCTGGACCAGTTCAGGTGTAGGTAGCAGAGGTACTTCCTCCTCACCAGATGCTCCTTACAGACCTCAGCCTCAGACACACCACAGACGTGGACCCCAGACACCCGGGCTTTGTCTCCTAGTGCCCGGTCCCTTCACCCCGTTCTCCTCTGGCCCCATGAGGAGGGGCGAGGTGGAGAAGCAAACTTGGTCTTTGGGTTCCAGCAGAGTGCTCATGTAGTCATTCAGCAAATGTTTCCTGAGCCGGTGTCTACGGGTGCCAGGCCCAGCCAGAAGGTGCGAGGAGGAGTAAGACGGGGCTGCGTCCCCCGCGTAACACTTCCGTGCCAGTGTAAGGAGAAGCGTGTAAGCAGGCACTGCCCCTCTCCCCCACACAGACACCTGGGATGGGCAGGGCAGCTGGGAAGACTTCCTGGTGGAGTGATGTTAACACGGAGCTTATCTTAGTCTGTTTCAGCTGCTAAACACAGTCGTGTAGTGTA